GAGAGCCAGCGCACAACGTCAGCATTTACGTCAGGCTGAAACATAAGCCAGGAAAGACAACAGTATTAACAGTATTCACACAGTACATTCAAACTTCCAATTACTTAATGTGAGAATTTTTTATAGCTAAACTTCAAAAAAAGCCACTCAGTTTCTCTAACTAAATAGTTTTAAAGTCCTGCCCAGCCTTTGTGGCCCAGTGGATTAAGTGTCATCCCATGCAACAAAAGGTTACCAACATGATTCTGAGTCAGTCACATGACCAGTTTGCAGGCCTGACCAAGAAAGGGTGTGCAGGAGGCAGCAGAATGGCTGCTTTTCAAAGATGTTTCTATCTTTCCCTCTCCTTTCCCCTCTCTCTAAAAATCAATGAAAACATTGAAACAGCTTTTAAGTCCTAAAAAAGTTCTAATCTTACAATAAAAGACCCAGTTGAATGTTAGTTTCCCAAGCAGTACATATTTCTCTTTATCAATACCTGCCATTTTTGCTTTTTTACTCTTTATGTGACACAAACACACCATTTAGAATTAAATGAAATATCTAACATCTATAGGTTTTGTTAAATAACAGTTCTGTGATGTCTGTCAATATTTAGAAAGAACCAGAATTCCTAAAAAAAGTTTTAATGAAAACTATGGAAAAACCTTGAAAAAAGATAAATGAAAATAAAATGACTCATATAAATGATGAGGAGCTAGCTATCAGTTTGTGCTCTAAGTGGTAGATAAAAAGTATATCTAAGAGTCTGTTTTTGTTTATTCATTTGTTTTTTTGTTCGATATTCTACATGAGTGAAATCATAAGATTCTTAACCTCTCAGACATTTTTCTAACCACTCTACATGCAATAAAAGGGCTTTCTTTATGACTAGTGATTCACTGTTTTCAGTACACTTATTTTTTTCTTCTTTAATTACATAAAATATGAGATATTATTCTTACTAATGTTAAGACTTTCATTTCTCTTTCATTTTTATAAAGTAACAACATAAACAACATAATTTTCAAATAACTGCACAAACATTGCTACATTTATATCTGCTACAATGAAACTGTTGGCCAGCAGGCACTGGCACTGTAACATGAAAAAACCCATTTTCCAGGTGATATGTCCACACATGATATGCAAAATGCAATTAAGAGATATGAATACATAACTTATAAAAGGACAATTTATATATAGGAAAGCTAATGAGTTTATACAGTAGTTTACATATATTTTGAGTTAACAAACCAAGTAAATCAGAAGAGAAAATAGTAATACTAAAAATAGAGAGCAACTATTTTGTAAAAAACAAAAACAAAACCACACACAAAAAAATAGAGAGCAGTGACAAATTCAAATTACTATATGCCACATACTGTTCTAAGTACCTTAAAAGATTAAATTATCTATTATACACAAGAACTCTCTGAGGCATGTTAACATTTTACAAATTTATAAATTAAAACAGAATGCAGCCAAGTAACTTGTCTACTGTCAGAATCAATAAGTAGCAAAGTTTGGATTTGAAGGTTAAGAGAAAATTTATATACAGAACATTTATATGTTACACTTTGATAGCTGTAACTTTCAATACTCACCTTCTCTTCCAAGGTTTCCCTTATAGATGTTGCTAGTTTCAACAGCTCTTTTTCATCATTTTTGCATCTAGGATTCAAAACAAAGCACCTCAAATTCAGTTTTCTCAAATGCAATAAACAATAGATCATATTCAAATCTAAGATATATGTAGAAAAATGTGGAATTTTACTAACAGGTAGAAGCATAAGTACTTTACTGACTTGAAAACTGGCTCACAAATACATTACTTAAAATCATGCTCATCTAAGAACAATACTTCTGACTTAATAGGCTAGAAAAAGAAAAATTATGTAATGGATTTCATAACTGAATTAATATCATATTTTTCATTTTAAAAAGTTGTAGCTTTTGAAGAATTAAAAATGGGAAAAGTCTTATTTAATGTAATTCCAATTTTATAAATTAATCTCTCTACTCTCACTAGGAAGACCAGGAAGTCATAAAAAATGTTTATATAGTTTGGGGTACCTACTGGTGTTGCAATTTAAGATGCTTAATTACTTTTTAAATGTTTTAAACTATAATTTCTGAAATACTGTTTTTTGTCAGTATTATATTAGCACATTTATTTAAGTTTCATCTAATAATTTTCATAACATTTAAGGACAAATATCATTTTTTTCCAACTAACAATGTTACACATCCTTCCATTTACTTTTAAATAATTATGTAAAAATAATGTGTCCTTTTCAATAGTAAATACAAATTGCACATTGTATCATTTTTGGTTTGGTACTAAATTCATGCACATGCATGCATTTTAAATAGTACGCTTGAATTTAACTATAATTATAACATCAAATATGTTTTCATAAACTGAAATACTGTTTTATAACAGAGAAAAAAGGAAAATGTCATTTCAAACAAAGAATGTTACCCAATATTTGTCTTGCGACCGTAGTTCTCCTGAAATTGGTCCAAGGCAAGCATAGCTGTGTGAATCTCTATAGGTGCCTAATTAGAACATTAAAAAGAGGTCAATGTAATATGTGCCAGGCACTGTGCTAATGCTTTTAAAACATTATTTAATTTAATTATTACAATAAATTAACTAGCTCAATATTATTATTAACAGAGGAGGGAGATGAATCTTCGAGAAGTCAAATGACTTGACTTCAAGGCAGTAAAGTGATATTACTAGTAAACAATAGATTTAAGTCTCAATCCCAGGTGGTATGACCAGTTTTTACTAAGTTATGAAACTTAGAGTAATATTAACTAAACAAATGCATCAAAATATTTGTATAAGATCACTTTCTTCTTTTTTCCTTATCAACATTGACAAATTTGGAATCTGTCAATATAATTCTTTTCTTATCACAATTACATTCACTGCTACAAAATTATATCCTTTGATTTTTAAAAAAAATAAATGCTTCCAAGGCTTTTTGAGAAAAGAGCTATTATATGAACTCTACATGGTTCAGAAAATCTTTTAATAAGATTACCTTGCATAAATTACTAAAAACTGTCTTTTAACTATCAAAGATAACATATCATTATAAAACTTTTTCCTATTATTTTAACATTTTTCCATGATATAAATTTCTGTTTATAATCACTGGAAGTCAACTTTATATAGGTGAAACAATCTTTATCAAGAAAATCTTATAGAAAGATATATACATGGTTACTCCATTTTAACTTTATAACCTCTTACCAATCCCAATCCCCCATTCTGCCGCCTCTCTTAAAACCTTCTAAGTGTTTGTTTACCTCAGGTTTGCTAAAATCCGCAATAAGGCACTTTGGGTGTTTTATCTGCTTCTCCAATGACTCCTAATAGAAATAAAACAAAACAATTTACTCTGTTGCAAAATCTAAGTATCTGAATAGAGAAAATGCAAAGGCTACTTATATCAAGGAACTCAGGAGTCTCTTACCACTTAAATCTTTAGCCCACTTCTCAGTATAAGCTAATACATTCTGTTTTTTCTTACAAGTTCTCGTGGTTTTAATGAGATAGCCTTTTAAAAGTAATGGAACTTTCCAAAAAATCTGACATAATGTTGGGCTACTAAAGTTTTTTTTTTTAAAGTAGTATTAAGAATAACTTATTCACTAATCCACTGAGCCAACATTGATTGAGCTATTAGGTCCAAATAAATTAAATAGGACTCAGAATGATTTGATGCTAAAAGTCTACTTCCCACTGGAATACTGTCAATGCCATCTTGACCAGAAGCCTGGGCTACTAAGTTTTAGCGAAACCTTAAAATAGCTCCTAATTTTCCTGTTACCCCTTGTCTTATTACCACATTTATTAAAAGAAATGTTAAATGCAATCAGGCAACCTGACCCACATAATAAATTTGGGAAGAAATGGCAAAAACATTTGTATGTAATTGAAAAAAAATTTATTGTTTTAACTGAAAAGCTACCACATTTTTCTGTTATTGAGTTATCAAGACTTGGTATGACTGACAAGACTAGAAAACTCAAAATTACAAAGACCCAAACACCAAATAACCAATCAATCAAACAAACAAACAAACAAAAAACAATTCCC